TTACCTCTTCTCGTGTGATTAAAATTGTTTTCTTCTCTTGCCCCTCCTCCAATTATGTCTCTCCGAAAAACGTCTCTTCGCAACCATGTTTCGTTTCCTTCCTCGAAACGTCGCGCGCGGCGAAAAGTCGAAGAATTTATCGCGGGCGACATGTGCGATGCGACGCAACGCGCGGCGAGAGAAATGCATGCATGTACGTACATAGTATGTATATCCATATTTACGTATGAGCCGCAAGCGTCCGCGTATGTGTGCTCACGTATGCGTTTCGCCGTTTCCAGCGGAGAAGCGGACTATCGGCAACGTCGCATACATACACAGGCACACGTGCCGCGTACACGTACACACGTACGTGCCGTTTGTCGGACTCGGCCGCGCCGGCGACGGCCCGAAGTCACCGACTTTTCGAGGCCACGGCGGGCGCGCAACGAGCCTGTGTGCCGCAACATTCTCGCAGATCGCGTCGCGCCGATTACGGGCCGCGCGATCTATCGGCGCCGCGAGATACGAGCTCAAGGACGCGCCTTTTCCGCGCTTGCGCGCGCGCGCGCGCGCGCGACCGTGCGACCGTGAATTCCGGCCGGTAACGCAGGAATTCCGTCCGCGTGCTCGCCCGCGCGCGCGGGGAATTCACTAGGAATCAGAGAAAACACCGGCGTATTTGGATCGTCCGAAATAGTAATTTGCAACCTCTCGAAGCGTTTCTTTTTGAATTATTGAATCGGACTGACTTTCTCTAGAAATTTAATCTTGGATTGACGTTGACACGGAAAAAACTCACTTTATACGTTAATCACGTTACTTTTTTTTAACCAGTATTCGTATTCTATCTTTTATAAATTATTATCATTTGTAGAATTAAATATTTCAATTCGATCTTTCGAGACAGACGATAAATTACTCGCAAACTTTATAAATGTGTTTTGGAAATATATCTTTTAAGAAAATAATTTTCTGAACTATTTTTCTAACATATGGAATATATATTATACATTTAATGTTTATTAAGAATAAAAATTAATATTTTGCTTCACTTTTGAATTTTCGTTGAAGCAAATTGGTTTAGAGAGTATTTTTTGCACGGACACCCGATATAGTCTGATGCGCTCTGCTTGCACTTTTGCGCCGTTTCTTCAAATTGCGCCGGGAATGATAATGTACGATTGATAATGGAAACGAGAGAGAGAAAGATAATTTAAACGCGCCTGGAATTATTCTCTCCCGCGGAACGATCCTTTTGACGAGGAGAAAGTGTCTCGACGATTCTTTAATAGTGATGGCATTGCGTGACGTAATTACGTCACTAATCGTAAACGACAATTTGATGCTGCGTAACCATTAGAGTTATCATCTCGATTCTTCTTTCCGTGATATGAAATAACTCTGCCTTTTTCTCTCCATAGAGAAAACAAAACAGAAGCATCGTAATTATTATTATTATTATTATAAATTTTATTATCATATATTTATCGCGAGATTAATCTTGATTTGGCTTGACGATTGACTTTACGTTCTCGTATTGCGAAACATTCTTCACGGATTCGCACTGCGAAATTCTCGACCGAAATAAAAGTGTTGCTCACTTTTGTATGTATGTATAATATATCGGGTGATATCACGCGTGTCTGTAAACCTTGTGTCAGACACTGAAAAAAGATTTCTTCAAATTTAATATTTCTATTCGTTTAATTTACATTTGTTTTATTTAAATAATATGATCTTATATGTAATATTTATATTTTTGAATAAAAAATACAGTTTGGTTGCATTAAGTCATATTATGATAGAAAAGAGTTATTTGTTTGGAATAATATTTCTTAATAAAGGAAATTTTAAAAATTATTCCAACGAATAAATATTTTTAGATTTAAGAAAATTGTTGAGTCCAAAGAAAGATTTCTTTCAATATACGAATTGAAGATTAAGGATTGTGAATTGAAGATTAAAGTTTGACCAACTAGATAATTTCAAATTTAATTCTTTTCGTTCTGATTGGTTGAACTTTAACCTTTCACACTCAATTTCTAATTCATAGTTCGACACAGGCTCAAAAAATCCATATCAGACTACATTGAAAATCGGAATTGCATGGAATTTGCTCAATCAAGGAGATGCTGAACGAGCGAACTCCGCGAGAGTATTCACATGACATCTAAGCATACATAGATACATTTATGTCTCATACATACATATATGTATTTTTTTTTTACATATGTACCTAACTTCCTACTTTGCATAAATAATAGTCTATCAGCACTCAGATAGTATTTTTCTGTTTATTTCTTCTATAAGCTTCTATGTTTTGGAGGTTATATATATTTTTATATATTGAATAAATGTGGGCGGATAGTTTTTCTTTGAACACATACTTGGTATTATTTATATCAAGTAACTAAGTGGCTTAGATAGTAACAGGAAACTGTAATATAGAGATTTTTGTTTTTTTCATATCGTCTTATAGCTGTTTATATTTATTTGGATATTTTCTCTCATTCTGGAAAAGGATTTTTTTATTCAAATTAAAGAAAACGAAGAAGTTAGAGAAATACAAAATATATGTTCAGTAAATATATGTTCAGTTGATAAAACAGACAAGTCTGTCATTGTCTTCAAGGCAAATAAATATTTGCTTTCTTTATTTTTAAATTCTAATTGGCCCAATTTCGCACAATCTTAATTTTTAATCCGTAGTCTGATACAGGCTTTAAGCTCGGCGCGTCCGACGAGTTATCTTGTTACGTGGCTTTCGCCACGCGTTACATTTGGGCAACGACTTTCTTTGAGCACAAACAACTTCCTAAGTCCCTCCCTGAAGCGGTGTCGTTGTTTCGTTAGCGGTATGACGCAATGACGAGTAACAGACGCAAGAGCGTCGCGCGCGCGCGCGCACCCGACGCGGCTAATGGACTGTGCATACAGCACAAAAACTGAGTGATGCACACGCATGAATACATACGCACGGACGCACGTGTATACGCGCTTTCAATCGTTCTCTCGAGTCGCTGAGCCCTTTCGTTCAGTAAAGTAAATTTCGGCTTCTCGTACCGAGAAACGGCGATATTTCTTTTCTTCGACGAATGTAGAAAGATGAAAATGATCTGAATTAAGAGTATAAGAACTTCTTTTTAACTTAATTACGAATATTATACGAATATTTTTAAATTATGACATTTTTGTCGCGATTTAAAATTTATAGAGAGGAAAGAGGGGGGAGGAGGGGGGGCCGAATTTATTATTTTGATATAAAATTTCTTGATCGATATTTGAAATATTTAGGATTGGATAATGAAAATTAATAGATTTTTTGGAGAGATTATTATGAGAAAATGAAAAGATGTGAAATAATAAATAAAATGCAGAAACAATTTTTCAATATTGACACGTATTTTTGATGAGTTAAGATTTAAAAGTAACATTCTGTACAACTAACTTTGCTTATAATAATTTTGTACAGTATTTTATACAAAAACTTTTATGTATTATATATAAAATTAATATATTGGCTAAATTTCGATTTTGATTAGTTCTTACATTTGGGTATTTTGAGTGAACAGTTCTAACAACTTTTTTTTTAAATTTTTTAATAGAAATCTTACGTTACTCTTACGTTATTCAACAAAGTTCGATTTAATTTTTATATATTTATATGTGCTGTCCTGTTGATTGAAAAATATTTTGAGGTTTTATTTTAAATATTTTTTCCTGAGATAATCTTCTTTATGATAATGAATTTAAAAATTAAAAATAAAATTTTATTGAATAGAGTAACGAAAATATATTTATAAAAGATTGTAAAGAGTATTGGATTTTGTATCCTTCGAAAGATACAAGATATCACTGAAACAATCGATTTTTGATGCTGTAAACATAAATCTTTATATCACCATTATTACTTGTCGTACATTGCAATTGCCAGTTGTTTCGCCGCATTCTTTGACAATTTTTTTCTGTTTTTAATCATCAATTGCTATCACGTCGCGTTGTTATGCGTAACCCGACTGTTTCTTTTGTCACTTCTGCATTGGTATATCGTATGTTCTCCTACCATCCGCATCTGCTCGCGTATCATTTCGTCATGAAATTGCTAAGTATCTTCCGTGCCGCGAACAACGCGACAAATCTGCGTCGTCGTAAAAACAAAAACGTGCGTGTCTAACAATAAATTCTTACTGGTCGAGTGTATTCATCTCATATCTGGCGCGATATACCATCTCCCGTTTCATCAATATCTCTCGTGCGATTGTCTCGAAAAGAAAACAGATGATATTATTAATTACAACAGAATGTGAAATAAAAGCTTCCCTCGAAAGCTTCTCATTGCAAATTCCTTGATAAAAATCACAAAAATTAACATCTATATGATTACTTTGTGCTCTATACCATTAATGTAAATTACATTGTAATCATGAGAACTTCTTGGATATTGTTTATTTTTTACCTTTTGTTTTCTTTAGTTTCTCAAGTCAATGCAAATGGAATTGTACCGAGAGGGGCGTAAAACTATGAGCTTATGAGGTTTATTTTAATAATAGTTAAAGTGAGGGTATTTTTGTAACGGCTGCAATTAAAAAAAGATCACAGGATCTAAAGAATTCAGCATGGATGTTACCTATTTGTGTTACATATTTTCCTGGATAATTCTGTCGTTATTATCAATTGATAACGTATCGCATTATCTATTGTATTGTACAATTTTTATACGCGAAATATTCCGAAAGATATTGCAATTTGTCTTCAAGATTTCAAGTAACCTGCACAGACAAATATATAATTTTAATTACGTATAATTTTAATTGCGTCCATAATATATTAAGTTAATTATTAAATTTATTAAATAATTCTGTTTAATTTAATATTTATAAATAATTAATAAATTTGTATTTGAATAAATAATAAATAAATAATTTTGTTAAATTTGAAATAATGTCGCGAATAGAACCCCATTCTCCATTTATGAGAAGAGATGATTGAGTAAGTTTTTCTTTATTTTTTGTTTACAGATTCGGCACTTTAGGCAACAAGAAGGCTCCAATAGTCATGCCGTACAACAGGGGGAAGTGTCCTCGTCAAATCCTAATATACTGTCCAACGATCAAGTTGGCCCTATCTTACTCGAGGTTTGTATAGCACGTTCGAATTAACAGGTGAGAGACGTGGTTAATCACCGTCAAAGGCGGGTGCGAGATTTCTGGATGCTGTACTCGATCGTTTTGAAAGGCAAGCAACGAAATTGCTACAACGTCACCGTATCTTGTTTGCAGGCGCTAGACGGCTTTCTGTTCGTTGTAAATACAGAAGGCCGCGTGGAGTACGTAACGGATAACATAGCGCAGTACATAAACTATACGAAAGATGATGTACTCGGAAAGGATATTTACAACATTATTCATCATGGAGATCACAACACCTTCCTGCCTAATTTGTTTCCTATGTCGTTAGGTATGTATTTTAGTTCTACATACATCCGCGCGCGCGTGCACGCGCGCGACATATTCTCTTTCGTAAGGGGCTGCGATATTTGTAGGGTAGATTGTAGATAAGCGCAATCAGTGGGTCACGAGTAATTTACCCGCTCAATTCACGAAAGACCCTCTTCCTCGGGACTTGTTATTCATTTTTCAATTTCTTCTTCGTGTTAGGAGGTAGTTTCTATCTCTTGAGAAATAGTATACATCCTTGACAAGTATCCTTGACAAATTAGTACGTTATCCTTTTATCGTACTACGATTACGTATGCATTTATCTTATTTTTTAATTATAGTTATAATTTGAAATAATTTTTATTTTCATCTTCAAAATTTAAATTATAATACATAAAAATTATATTTTAATCTTTAATTATGTATTTTTATGATGGTATATGTATACTAATTTTATTATATGTATACTTTTATATGTATACTAATTTTTATATCTTAATTTTAAATATTATTTAAAATTTAAACAATTTATTTATTTATTATTGTTTTAAATACTTTATTTTATTATTTTTACGATAATTTTGTTATAAATTTCATATAATCGTTAAAACAATTATTTTAAAAATTTTCTCTTTTAATCTTTATTTTTTATTATTAATTATAACTTTGACTGTGACTTGAGCCATGACTATGTGTTTTTATATGTATGAGTGCCATCAAAACATGATTTTCCGTGACTAGATTTTTTATATATATGAGTGCCATCAAAACATGATTTTCCAAAACATGACTTTCTTTTACATATGGCGAAGTTAGCAGTCTACTTAGTTCATAATAATATAGGAGTCTGTAGAAAGAACATCTTGTATAAATAGATGACTAAAGTTAAAATCGATCGATTTATTTCGCGTTAACTTATCGTGATGCGATTAATCTTTTCGCGTTAAAAAAAAAAAGGGGGGAAAACTTGATTTTGCACATTTCAGGCTGGACTAGCGAGCCGCAGCTTCAGACCAAGAATCGCACTTTCAATTGTCGCTTCTTGGTAAAGCCTCCCGATGATAAGAACGAGACTATGGAAGAGAAGCAACAGCGAGTATCGAAATACGAGTCTATGCAAATCTGTTCTGCTCTTCTGCCCAGTAACGCCGATCGTCTAGAAAGCGGTGATGTATCTTCTGAGTCGTCAGACAATGGCCCTTCCGCGATGTGTGTAGCGCGTAGAATACCGCCGAACGAGAAGCCCATTGGTACTCCCGTTGAGCAATTCACCGTCAAATTGGATACCACCTGGAAGATTATCGCGGTCGACGTCAGTTGGTTATCCCCCGCTTACTCCAAGTACCTAAGCAAGGTAAGGGTGCATAATGCCAAGTTGTCGTATATCTTGATTACCGTAACATTCGCTCGCTCCGATATACATATTCGATAATAACTTCCCTATTATGTAAAACGGTCAAAGTAGTACAGAACTCATTGTACCTCGAGTAAAACAAGTGAATTATTTTAAATCATGTAATATAAATCATTTTTGAAAAGGGATTGATAGCAATAAGATTTCTTTTTGCAAGTTTCATCTGATATAATTTAATAATTATCGTAAATATCTTACGAAAGAATAGTATCTTTCGTCAACATAATGAAATTAATCATACTTGTTCCCTTCCTCTTGTTATTTATTTCAGTCTTAGGAAGATTAAATATGATTGATGATGATAATTTAACGATATATTTTTCAACGAATTTAGAAAACGTTATCTTTTTGCGTAGTTATAATTCTCGTAGTTATACTGTAAATTTCAATGTCAAGACAATATTTTTTTTTATATTACATGTAACATTATATATTATTCTAATTTTGTTCCGTAGTTTTGATTTTAAGAAGAAAAGAATATATACATATATATAGACTTTTAAAATTAAGAAAAATATTTTGAGTTATATTTTTTATAAGAACAACATTAATGTAATCATTTTATTATTTTTAAAAAAATTATTTTATTTTTTTTTAATATTAATATTCGAATTTTTAGACGTGTTTTCTTTTTTTTTGCATATTACAAAACTATTTCTTGAAAAGTATTACAGATACTTTCTCTCTGTCACAGGACCTGATAGGCACAACAATTAAAGATTTGTGCCACCCTCATGATCTCACTACGCTCACGAAGCATTTGAGCGATACGATCCAAGTCGGAGAAAGTACGAGCGATGTATACCGACTGCGCGTTAGTCCTGATAAGTTCCTTAAGATTCAAACAAAGTCAAAATTTTTCAAAGCGAATGTGATGAATACGCAAGATAGCGATTTCATGATGGCAACCAATTCCATCATCGGGTAAGTTTGCTCTTAATATTTATAATAATAATGTTTAACAAATAACTCTAAACTTTAAATAGTAAACTCTAGATGGCAAGCAAATATATATGAAATATATATATGAAATTTAATTTATATGAAAAATTATATTTAAATCGAGAAAATATATCTTAATTTTATCACATTATAATATATTTCATAAAGAAATATATTTAAGCGAAATAGATAATTTTTATCATCAATTTTTATCATTTTTATTTATAATCAGAATATATATTTATAAGGGTATTTCTTTTAATATTAACAATTTTACAAATTAATAATTAATTATTAAAAATTTAACAAATCACCATATAATTTTTTAGCTAAAATAAGCTTATCTAAGGCACAGATTTAATTGATTCAATTGTCTATTTTATTTATAATTTTTATACTTAATTTTTATTGAATCTTTTTTGAATTTTGCATTTTGTTATTTAGTTATTCCTTTATTATTCCTTTAGTGACTTAATTTTTCTTTAATACAACATGAGTAATTATTATCTTATCATATTAATTAACTAAATGTTTGTTTAAATATAAAAGTGATATGATTCTAGTATTTCATACTAAAAGTATTATATATTTTTGATATATAAAATAGACGTAATGATAAATTTTCAATTAAAAGAAATAGGATGCAATAACGGCTTTTTAGTCACGAATAGAATTACATAATTTTTACTGTAACTAAATTATTTTGAATCGAAAATTTGATTTTAAAACTTTTTAGAATTGTTATAGAAATTATATCTTTAATAACAAATCTGTTTGAATACTTTTATATGCTATATAATAACACCACAAGTTATCTTGATTTCTAATACAACTAAGTTTTAATAAACGAAGAAGATATTTGCTCATGTATATAGTAATGTTCTTTCATATATATTTGCACTAATTTATTAATTTTAGTCCATTAAATCACAACGATTTTATGTATCATAGCATTATGATGCATATTTGGTTTGTAATAAGTTTGCAAAGGGCACATTTGCATGTAAATCAACACAATTTCTTATTGGTGTTGGAGATCTGGCCACTCTTGGACTATTGTCTCTCACATAATCCACTTATATGCATATTTCAGTTTGCTTTTAATGTATGAACCTAGCGACATGCCATATATTAACTTTGCTTGAGTCTAACAATGTAATATTACACATGATTTATTTACGTAATTTATTTTTGACAATGTTTGTGTGAATATGGCGAAATTTAAGTACACGACATTTGCTTGTTACTGTACTCATGCTTCAAGGAATTTATCACGATGTTATATGAGATCGTACAATGAAAAATAATCTCAAGATGATTTATTATCAGCATATTGCTTTTTGTAAAATCTGGTATACAGAACAGCCATAAAATTGCGTAAATATTTTTTAAGTTAAATTTTAATTTAAATTGTTAGACAATTTATTTAAATTATTAATTATCTTGGAACTTTAATATAAAATCTTAATAAAATTTTTGTTTTTATAACTTTTAAAAATATTAAAAAAATTAGTTAAATTAATTTGAGTACGTATTTAGCACATTTAAAAACTCTGATAAACTCTGATACGCGTACAATTTAATTTAAATGTTATGTGGTAATGTGTAAAATTATATGATATTATATGATAATGTGATTTTATATTTGTAGAAAATGTTCCTACTAACTCAACAAAATGTTCATAACAAATTTTAGTCATCTCTCATTTAACAAAAAATATTAACAAATATTAACAAAAATATTATTTATTATCTTGATAGAATAAGGCAAATTGCATTTTACATTAATACTGATACAAGAATAAAGTATTAAGGTAGTTTAAATGTATTGAAGACATTAATGAGTACTGTATCATGTTACATTTAACTTCTAGTATATGTGTTTTCTGCTTGAGATTTCTTCGTATCTAAATTATTATAATTAATAAGGAAAATATATGCACAATATAAATGCAATTATTACACTGTTCACAATCAACAATCTTAATTTATGGTGTGTATGGTTTACATGTTTTGCAGCAGCTTAATTAATCTCTTTTTTAATCATAGATGACCTTAAGATGTGTTATTCCTGTAATTTAAAAGTAACAGGAAGAAAAATGTTATGCTCAATCGACAGCAAAAATCCTGTTTTCTCACGATGGTTTCTTAGCAAGATTGAATTAAAACTTCCATGGATTGAATTAAAACTTTCTCTGTTTTTGTTGACCGAAAAAAGACACTTAGAAATTTGTAAAGAGGGAAACTCGATATAGCAACACATGAACTAAATATTTTTGTTTTCCATTGTACTGATTATTGAAGATAATTTGCTTTATCTACAGATTTATTACAGATTACGATAAATATTAAAATAATGCAGATATCCAATTTAAAACAATCATTTTGTAAGTGAATAAAATATATTATGTGATTGTTTAATTTATTCTGTCTTTTGATGGTAACATGTACAGAAAATTTCTTAAACTGAGATTGAATGCTCTTTCTGTTTTGGAAAATTACCGGATAACACATAAATAAGTCACTTTTGTGTCAATGAAGAATCATAATTAAGCTGATGGGAAACATTGTGTGATTTTTACAAATTTATGCTTAGCTTTAGGCTAAAGTGAAGAGATGCAACTAATTAGCAAATATACGTGTTGTTTTTATTTTTTTGTCCATAATAGGGACAATGACTTAATGCCTATCGAGGGTGGTCAGCTTTCCAACAACAAAGTGTGCTCAGGACACCCTAGCAACCGTTGTGCGAATAATAGTAATAATAATAACGGTAACAATAACAATAATGTGGGTGGCCCGCTAATGTCCGTCGCGCATCTGAACGGTCAAGTGAGTAGTATCAGTGCCCGCGGTATGACGACAGCCGCCACGTCGTCGAACTCGATCGTCTTTAGCACGGGGACAACTGGCGGCGGCGGCGGTGGCGGTGGTGGTAGCAGTGATACGTGCAACCCCCTAACGTCACTGAGCTCGTCGGTCGGCAATCCGTTCAACCACTTTTCGGAAAATATGGACCTGGAATTCGAACTCTTTCCCAGTTCCACATGGGACTTGGACGGTAGCGCCGGATGGGCAGGTAGACCGGAGTCGAGAACGAGCGGGCCACCGAATTCACGACCGCCTTCCCAGCCAGCTCCGACATCGCCGAGTTCGCAGGGAACCTTCTCTAACGCGGTGGTAGCTCCTCACTGCAGTCCCCTACGCTCGTTCAGCCCGACGACGGTCAGCGCGGCTCACACCTTCAGTAATTCGTTCCCCTTCAGTCCGCTTCAGGAGACCACGCAGACGTCCACGTTGAGCAATAATGCCATCAGTATCAACACCAACGGTGGTGGTAGTAGCAGCGGGGTCGGCGGTGGCATTGGTAGTGTCGGCGGTGGCACCGCTACGACGACCATGAAACGAACGGAAGAGAGCAACAAGAGTGGATGTCCTACTAGCAATAGTGGCGGCGGTGTTGTCATGGACAATACGACCACGAGGACCAGCAGCACTGCCGTCACTGCCGTCGAGACTCAGAATAACAGTGTTATGTCCACCGAATCCGGTAGACTAAGAAACTTACTGACGAAGGGTCCGAGTGCTAGTGAGGATAGTCAGGACAATACGAATAATGATTCGGAGAATCCAAACAAGCATCGGATATTGAAGATTCTGTTGAATCAACAGGACGAAGATGATTATCATTCTGAACATAAAGTGCGTACGAGTCCTAGCAACATGCCAAAGTCGAGCATGGAGCACCCTAAACCGTCGGTTGGTAACAACATGTTACTACAAGTAAGTCAATAATTCATTATTACTTTCATTATTGCTTTCATTATTGCTTTCAATAAAATGCTTAGTTGAAAACTAAAGATACGTAATCCAAGAACATTTGTAATGTCTCGTCATCAAGTTCCTGCGTAACAAAGTTTGCGTGAAACGACGAGATATCCATATATACGCGAGACATCAAAATAACGAAATTCGAAACTTATATTTTTACATCTTTACAAATTGCATCGATTGAATTCTATTATTTGTGATGTCAGAAGCGAGATAAAATGCTTGATAAAAATTTTTGTAAAATATATTAAAATAGAAATATTGGATTGTAGTTCTATTATTTATTAAGTTCTATTTATACAAGGATATTCTTTTTCCCACTACTACTCTTCTTCTTTTTCACATTTTAAGTTATTGAACGAGAAAAATGACGACGAGAACGAGGAGACACGTGCTGGGTTAAAGACTAGAAATGAACTTCTGCAACAGTTGATGAAGGACGGGGACGAAGAAAGAAAGTTACCGGAACAGGTACATTTTATATTGTAGTTAGAATTTGAAATATAATGCATGTAAAAGAAATAAGCAAAGAATAAAATATTTCCAATAGTAATTCCAATAATATTTTCAATATATATAATAAAATGAAGTTTTTTCTTTTTTTCGATATTTTTCACATTTTTAAAATCAAATATTTTTTATATGATAACGATTACTAACATTACAGTTACGATAATTCTTTTATAATTCTCAACTTTCTGGAACTTGTGGAGAAATAAAAAGTTAAATAAAAACATAAGTGTTACGAAACAAAAATCTATAAACAACTTTGACTAAATATATGCGTTAATGATTTATATATTCTGTAATGAAATTAAGTTTAAAACTTTTAGATTTGCGTTTATTTGCTTGTTATTCATCATTTGAGAAATTTATTGTCATAAAGTTGAAATAAATAAAATACAGAAAGAAAAGAGAGAACAGCGAAAAAAGAGTAGAAAACAAAAAGAATATATAATTTTATCTGTGATAGAAACGAGAAGGTGATTCTTTTCTGCGGTCTCTTGGATTTGGAAATACCCCGCCGTCTCCGTCACAATCTGGTGATCATATAAGTCTCGGGAGCACGACGCAGGTAGGCCAAAAGAGACCAGGAGAGGATAGCGATTTGAATGTAGTCGTGAAACGATCTGTGGATGGCTCGCATCAAGTGTCTTCTTCGGGGATGGGCACTGCGAGTAACGCAACGAGCAAGCTATGGGAGAAGAACAAAATGTTGGCATCCTTACTGGCAAAACAGCCACCACAGCCAACAAATATCCCACCGATTCCTGCATCTGTGATATCAGCAACGCCACAGGTTTGTTGCGAAAATTTTTTTATTAAAGTTTATACATTATATAGACTGTGTCAAGAGCCAATGAGCATCTCAGACTGATTTTATTTTATTTTATTTTTGAATCTACATCTAAGACTATTGAGTTCAACAATTTATTTTTTTGAAATTCCTTTATTCTTTGTGCCTTCGTATCATTAATAATTCTTATGATCAAGTTCCCTGTAGGAGAAAGGAAAAAAAAGAATAAATTACAAAAATTATTTGCACTATTGTTAGAAACTAAAAGTTTTATTCTGATACATATTGAATATTTATGATATATGTACAATATAACTGCGAGTTTTTTAGTTTAATACAAATCTCGTATTGAAGAAGTGACAATACAGTTAAGAAAATTTATCTATACATACATATAAACACATATACAATAAGATTTATGAGATACTTAATAATATATGGTATACATAATAGTAAGATAATCAATAAGACATGATAATAAGATAATAAAATCTATAGGTTATAGGCTAAAATACTACTCAATAACTTTTTAATCTATGACTACGTTTCAATATTCATTGCCAGTACTGAAAATATATAGTTTAGATCATGTATATTATAGATTTTTAGTACTTGCAGTGAATATCGGAAACGCAGCCTATATTGATTTGCGTCTTCTTCGCGGTTTTTTTTACCTAAATCTTGAATAAGTTTTGGTTATACAAAATTAATCTTAGAAATTATATTTTATTTGTTATATTTAAATAATAATATATTTTCTTGCATTTATAATCAAAGTACACTTAGCAAATTACACTCAATGCATTGACTTATGATTTTATCGGAAACAATTACGAGAATCTTTGTGCTTAGACTTTATACCTATACTCTATATATACTCTCTATATACTCTATATATCTAAATAATTCTATATATAATTAAATATAATCTTAATATAATCTTAAAATAAAAGATGAAAGAATTTTAAGAGAATTTTTTGGGATAATAATTATACAATTGATTTTTTTTTAATTAGGACAAGCTGCCTCGTTTAAAACAACAGCAGCAGCAGCAACAGCAGCAGCAGCAACAACAACAGCAGCAGCAACAGCAACCACCACAACAACAGCAGCCACCGCAGCCACAACAGCCTTGGACTGGTGGCAGTATGCAAGTTGGTGGTAATAATGCGATTACGACGACTGCGACGTCGGCGCGTCCTCTCCAAAGCCAGTTGAGACAACTACCTCGTCAAGCAGCAACCAATATCTACCTCAGTCATATGCTAAGTCAGGTGAGTGTGACTTAATTTAATGAACATTATTACAAAATTAATTACATTAAAATAACATTAAAGATTAACATTTTAAAACACTGCTGTGATTGTTTGTTCAATACTTAAATTTTACTGCTTACATTCTTTTTTTATGTGCCATTAGCCTAACTTTAATTACTGCATGTTAAAAATCACCATGTGTGAAACACACACACGGTCGCGCGCGCGCCACACACACACACACACACACACACACACA